ATTGTATAGATTCTGGGATTTCCCCTAATCCTACCTTTTATTCCGTCCTCCAAGTTACTTCCTCCATATTTTTAGAATAGTATATTACTTCATAAGCAGTCATAAGTCCATCATTCTATTATTTAAGTATGTCCTGACATTGCTGGGACAGACAATGGGAGACAGTCTAGCATCCTATTGTCAAGATATGTCCGACGGTTTCAATGGAAGTAGAGATGCATATATTCTGTGCTTCCCTTGTGGGTGTTTGTATGTGTCTGTGTCTGGCATCTTTCACTTGTATATAAGAGATCTCCTGTTCATGTAGTTATGTGTAGTTGTGGTTCAGTAGTTGCTGTCTAGTGCCACACTGAAGGATATAGCTAAGATAACAGCTTCTCACCATGTGGACATCTGGGCTCTTTGTTCTCTTGCACATGCGCTTTGGGGTGCCCATGTGTGTCTTTAAGTAGTTTCAGAAGTAGACTTCCTGGGCTTTAGGGCATTCCGAAGTTTAAGTCTGTTAGTGTGTGTCAGTTTGTGCCATTCACACACCCAGTTTTCTAGGTGTTCTGCATTCTAACCAACACTTGCTATTGTTTTAACGTTTGCTCCTCTAATAAAGGACTGTTGACTCTGTCATTTTAATTGACATTCACTCACATTATGGATAGTGAGTGAATGCTGTCACATGCTGACCAGCCACTGGGATATAACTCTGTCAAGGGGCTTATTCATTTGCTTCCTCTCATAACTGGTTAATTGTCTTACTCTTCTTGACTTGAAGAGAATCTTATTTTGACATATTATTGCGAGTATCTCCTTCCACATTCCAGCTAACCTCCTCACCGTCCTGATTGTGACTTGATAAACACCAGCAGTTCAGTTTTGCAATTTTCCTTTAGGGTTAATGCTGTTGATGTTTTGGTTAAGCACCCCTAATCCATGGTTGTTGAAAATCTTACTTTAAAAAATGTATTTATTTTTATTGGAAAAGCAGATATACAGAGGAAAACAGAAAAAGATTTACAGAGGAATAAGATCTGCCATCCACTGGTTCACTCCCCAAGTGGCTGCAACAGCCGGAGCTGAGCTGATCCAAAGCCAGGAGCCTCTTCCAGGTCTCCCACATGAGTACAGGGTCCCAAGGCTTTGGGCTGCCCTCGACTGCTTTCTCAGGCCACAAGCAGGGAGCTGGATGGAGCAGCTGGGACACAAACTGGCACCCGTATGTGAGTGCATGTAAGGCAAGGACTTAAGCCACTATGCTACCGCTATGGGCCCAAAGGTTGTGAAAATCTTTGAAAATACTATCGTTTTATTCGTAGGTTTTGAACTTGATATGTAGATGGGGTTGGTTTCTGTGTATGGCATTAGGCAGGAGCTAGTTTTATGTCTAGTGTGATGTTGAAATGAAAGGAGGCAGTGCTGGCAATGTAATCATCAATTCCCACAGGACTTCCCTTCTGTTTCCACAGTTAGGAATCACTTGAATTACTTGGGCGGTGAAATGTCTACAGAGCCTATGAGATGAGACCATCGGACAGCTGATGACTGACCTGTATATTATTCTCTGAATTCCCCTTTAAACAATTCTAACTCTGATCCTCTCCCTCCCCTCTATTTTTTTTAAGGTGGTTCTAAACTTCCTTCTTATGTTTGACAAGTCCTTGTTCATTTTCAAATGCGGAGAGCTGTCTGAGGCTGTTGTGAAGTCTTTGGATAAAGGCGACTAACACTGTCAGGACTGGTTGGGGCTTGAGAGTGGACAGCTGGGTGTACCGGGGATCGCTGGGAAGGAAACGGTGAGCACCAGTCGCGTGGCCTGTCACTTGGCTGGGAAGTGCAGACACAGAGCACCAGCTCATCACTCAGCTGAACAATATCTGTCTATTAATTTGACAAACTTGAATTTCTACCTAGCTTTTGCAGGAAGAGAGAGAAAGGTGCAACAAGTAGGATCAGCAAGGACCTTTTGAAAAGGAATTGTTATGTCGCCAGTCGTGTGGGTCAGTCGTTGCTCTGCTTTACTTAGAAACATTAAAAAAAAAAGACAACAACAACAGTTTAAAAAGTCATGGCAGACTGCTTTCATCCAGATTGAATCTTTATTCTTTTAATGTGACACAGTCATCGAGTTCTCACATCAACCATGTGACTCACTGGTATAATCTAAGCACACACAAGCACATACAGCTTATATAAAAAAATAAAGCTTATGAAACAAACCATCATTTACAAATTCAGCTCCTTAAAAACACTAAAGAAGAACTGTGGAAATTTCTGAGCAATACAAAAATCTCCCCAGAACTGGCTCTTCATGAAGAAAATATTTTGAAAATTCAAAACCTGGGGCACATCATCATTTTCTTAAAGGTCACTTTTCTAATTCTGTATCTTTCTGAATCTAATAATATAACTCACTGTTGGCTCAAATACGGCTTTTGGGTGGCCCCAGAAGTTAAATGTCATACAAGTTGAAGGTTAAGCTAAACGCCCTTTAAAGGTAAAAGGGTGGAGGCATTTTGTAACCCTCCTTCTTGTTTCCAAACACAATTCGCCATCTGGGGTCCCAGATCAGCAATCCTGAAATGTGATGCTCAGCTGTCTCTTAAACGAATATTGAAGTCTGTGTACTCCTTGTACATTTCTAAGTTGACATCTAAAACTCATTATAAACAATTGCAGAAGATGAAAATGCCAGCATACTATAGATATTGCATCTTTAAATAAAACAGATATTTCCTTTTAAATTCAGCCAAGAGGCTCTGAACATAATATTTATTGGATAGATGCTATCACTCTAAAAATTACATGAACCAGGCGATTTCCAAACAGAAAGATATATTACATTTTTTTTCATTTTACTCCTTAAATTTTTGTGTTTATATAATTTCTTTCCTGAAACTTTAACTTATTTTTGGCTTTCGTATTGTGTAATTGTTTCTTTAATACAATTACATAATATCCTATCATCATAAAGCTGTCAGCCTTTAAAATTTTCTTCTAGATTGAGCTTGATCAACAAAGACAACTGGACATGTTTCACTGAATGAGACGAAGAGGCATCATCGCACCCCCAGTTACTTCATTTATCTGTGGATTAATATTAATGAGCCTTGGTACAGCATCACTTTGGTCTTCCCCTTCAACTTTATGCCTGGAGGTGTTGATGAGCCCAGATAAAAAGATGGGAACAGAAGTTCTCTGATAGCAAAGCCACAGAATTCTTCCCACACTTTTACAGCTCCCTAAGTGCAGAACTGTCCTGGGTTTCTCCTTCCATTTTGTTAAAAAGGAAGAATAAGAGCTGCCAGATTGGCAGAAGGACTGGTCCTTTATGTTAACTCTTTACCAGTTTTGAGATGTATCACTTGGTTTGTGTCCCATGGTGGAGTAGAGATAGAGAAGGCTATGGTCACTTCCACCTTGTAGAAGTAACAAGGAGACATTTTCTCAGGTAGTTGAGTCTTACAAAGAAGACCTCAAAATTGATGCTCAAGCCTGTCTGTCCCCTGAGTTCTGGTACACTCCCAAGGCCTGGCTGCTCAGCAGCCCTGGTGGCTTCAGTTAAAGCTTAACCAGGTCATAAAGTACATGACTAAAACACCGAGGCCCGCTGTGGAGCAGCGGGTCCTCAGATAATCCACTGACCACTAGTCCCACGTGGCACTCTCAGGGAAGGGATTCTGAATCCAGAGGGAGAATCGTGATCTTCTCCCAACCTTTGCCACGTGCAAGTGTCACACTGGAGACACAGGCTGTAACTAACCAAACGGAGTATCCCAAACTGGAATGATCCAGGCAGCCTTCACTCTTTCCTTTTTCCACATAAATAACCAATATTCCGAATAATAGGAAACACTCATAGCAATGGTTTCAGTGAGTGCTGCCACCATCTTGAGAACAGTGCTCTCAGTATTCTGCCTGTGGCTTAGCAGTGCTGTGACCAATGCGTCTCAGCCACTTGGGTTATACTGCATTTTAGAAGCTCTAGGAAGACTGGGGGCTTTATCTACATCATCTGTGCCTTCCTGAGAGGACTGACTTGGGTCCTCACGCAATCAATTTCAGGTATTTCCCTGTTGAGGGCAGCGTTAATGAAGAAGTGCCCTGTAGTGGTAGATACAAGGACTGTAGCACTGGGGGAGGAGCCAGTCTCAGCTGCAGGACTCCCCCCAGCACCATTTATATTAGCACCCCATATGGACTTTCCCTCTGCGTCCACACATGGATTCTACACAGGAGCAGCTGAGATGTTCCTCTATTTCCAAATTTCTTTGATAGAGCAGGAAAAAGTATGATTAAAAAAAACCAAACAAATATAGACCTTAGAATCTGGCCTTTGAACTACAGTAAAATATGGACTGTCACCTGAGCTCTACTGTGTAGAAGTAATGAGAGAACCAAAAGGGATGGGTGGGGGAGTTGACATGTGCAGTAATGACATGGCTAATGCGACATTGGTTACCGAGTCTGGAAATTCTTTCCCTGCAGCATTTAGCTCACCCATCCTTTCCCAACACTGGCCTTGAACATTTGCTATGATGAGGCATAGCCTGCCTTGCTTCATGACTGCCAAATACAACACCTCCTCCCCAGTGGAGCAATAACAGAAAAAAGATCACAAGATAATGGCTCCACCTGGTCTGACCTCTGTCACCTGCCTTTCTGGCTTGAGGGACTGGCAAATGCTTTTCTTTCAGGAGCCTACCATGACCGCTGCTTTCACTTTAAAACCATTGCCCAGGACTTGGTGCTGTGCTCAGCTCATGTGGTGTGACTGGATGGGATTTTTAGGGAGAACAGAGAATGGCTGGTTTTCATCTGCTCCTCAGCAAGATATGCATGATGAACACTGCAGTTGGATAACTACAGTGAGGCTAAGTGGGTTTCCAGGAGCTATTTCCATCTCAGTAAAGCACCAATCTGGCTATTAGTTCATTCTTTCCCACCATACTCACTGTCTATAGTTACATGGAGTTAAAAGTTGTGATTCTACTGAGCAGCCCCAAGTCAGCACTAGCCTATTCTAAAAAGCCGTGTTAAACAATGGCATTTTATCTCAAGATATGGGCATAGCACCCTAGTCAGCCACGTGTATCACCATGAAGTTGGTAGGTGTGGCCCTCTGAGGAGGGCTGCATCAGAGACATTCTCTAACATACTGATGCCTAACCTACTAGAGCCCAGCTCTCTGCTCCAGAGGTCTGGCAGCCCAGAGCAGGTGTGCAGTAAATCCCACTGTCCTCTGAGTGTTGGAACCAGCAATTGGCCTCTGGTCTCTGGATAAAACATTCTCAGCGGCCTGCAGATTTGGAAAAAGCCTATCTCTAGACTGTATAACATGGTTTCTAAAACCAAGACGCTTTAAGATTCCCATTTCCTGCCCAGTGACCCTGGAAGGGAAAGAGGCTTCTGCACTGATGAGAACTGATCTTCATGGACAGATGCCATCACCCAACTGTTTCTTGTGGAATGCACCGAGTCCTTCAGATTGTCTGTCCAGCCAGGCAGCTGACCAGTGATACTTAATAGGCACTGAGCTGAGCCCACTAATGGGGCAGGACTCCTCTTGGGGCTTTATGGAACTCAACAGCCTTAATTGGGGCATCATATGCCCTTTTGTTAACTTCCTTTACAGAATCTAATGAATTCATTCTTTACACTTGATATTTCTTTTGTGGAAGCCAAGTACCTGCATTAGAAGCAGGGCCTTGTTAGCAGGATAAAGAAACCTTCCTCCCTGCAGAGATCATGCAGAGAAAGCTGCACGGATAGATTGTGGTTGCTTTTATTCAGTGAGGTTAGGAGCACAAGAGGCCAACAATGAGCAGCACATTTTTGGGTGCCTCTACAGAGAATGTAAGTGTTCATCTCAGAGAGTTGTCCCAACTTGGGAGGGAATCACCCTGACACATGCTGGACTCCTTCAGGAATGTCACCTTGATGGCCGACTTGGAAGAAAGGAGGCCACTACACATCCGCATCTTCCCAGGGTTGAGGTATAGCCCATTCTCCTTCGTGTAGACATGCATGTGTGTCCCAGCTCCTATGAGTAAAACTTGCTGTTGCTGACTCGTTTCTCTCGTAACCTGAAGTAAAGCAGAGTTCACTGTCATCTGCAGGGCCTAAGTAGCCAGCTGTGTACTCAAAATGGTAGGGTGTGTCTGCCCACATGTTTGCCAAATTGTGTAAAGCTAGGTGGTACAGCAGGGAAGCAGGCTCAGGGCTCCCTGCAAGACACTGAGATTCAATGAGGTTAAATTTCACAGCCATGTAGGCTGACATGAAGATTGTATGAGAATAATGTGTTTCTTAACAGAATCCATCATGGGTATCATGCTGCCCATGGAAGACTGCTGTTGCATTTCCACTGGAAGAATCCCTTGTTTCTGGGGACAGTCTGGAATAGCATGCATAAGCAAAGCATCCTGGCTGCCCTCCTTCCCACCACATGCTTGTGGCACAACCAGAAGCTTCTCCTGGAGGATTCCTGCCTTTCTCTGGAACCCCTGGAGCAGTCAGGTCTTAAAGCCTGGCACAGGCTCTTTACAAGTGGGCAAGTGGGTGGTCATCATTCACCTTTGCTGCTGCAGTGGGGTGTCCTAGAGAAGGCAGGTCTACATACAGAAGTGGTGAGTGCCAGAGGTGTTACTATAAGTTAAGTTACACAGCAGAGAGAACTAGAACCAACAATTCCCTGGGATTTTTCAAGGAAGCAAATCAGGGCATTCCAGAAGCCCTGTGGTTGCTGCTGGAGAGAGGTTGACCTACCTCCGGTTGCACTTCTCCTGGTACATCTGGAGCTGGTTCTCATTGACATTGAACTCCTTAATGAGGGCATCCCGGTTGGCATTACGCAAGTTCTGGTGTGTGTCGTACAGGAAGAGTTGGTTGTTGAGCTCTTCTTGCCGCCTCCGCAGCTGGCGACAGGAGGAGTAAAGTTCCTCCTCGCTCTCCTAGACACACAGAGACAGAACATGGAGAGGTGACCACATCTTCCAAATCAAATCGTGAGTCCTGACATCTCATGTGTGAACATGAGGGAAGCATGTAGTAAGTGGAGCAATTGGGGTTGCCCAGCATCTGTTTTAACCAAAGATAACACTCAATTATGCATTGTATTAGAAGCTGCTAGTTGACAAAAAGCTTAATTATCAGGGTTTTCCTTTGCTGTAAACATTGAAATAGTAAATGCATTACCCAAGGATCCCATTTCTTAATGGAATCCATTTTTTCTTGGACTACATCTGGTCTTCAAGTGCGAGGTGTATTCAGGCAACACAGAAAGAGGAGCACAGCAGCTGAGGAAGCACGCCCCATGGACAAAGAAGTGGAGGAAGTGGATCACTAAAGATTCTAGAGGGACCGTAAAAGGCAAGATAATGGATGACAAGGATACACCTTGAAAATATGCAAAGTGGGAGGATCCAGCTCTGAAAGGACATATATTTTGTGATGACAGCCGCTGGAAAGATGCAGAACAGACACATTGACTAAGACAGAAAGTAGATTCCTGGCTACCAGCGGCTAGGAGATGGAGTGACGGGTGGTATCAAATGAGCCTTGCTTTGTTTCTAGCGCAGTAAAATTTTTAAATTGATTATGGGGATGGTATGCAGCTCAGAGTATGATCAGAAAGACCACTATTTTAAATGGATGATTGTATGGTATGTGGATTACGATAGATAATACCCCAGGGACAAACAGTATGTAGCTACTTATGATGTCTTAACTCCCACCATTATCACCTATGGATACTTGTCCCATTAGACGCATCTTTCCTGTGTCTGTTGGTGCGCTTGGTATAAAGACGTGATCTTGTCACTGGCCAGGAGAAAGTGTTACTAAAAGGTTTCCTGTATTTTCAAACTACTGAGTTAGAGGAAAAGCAGAAAGCACATTTTTTTTTTTTCTGGAAAGGTGTCTGGTACAGCAGCTGGCTGCCTTTTGGGATGCCTACCCCTCATTTCAGAGTGGCTAGGTTCAAATCCAGGCTCTTCTGTGCATATCAGCTTCCTGCTAACGCACAGCGAGGCAGCAGGTGTTGGCATAAGTCCTGGCATCCCTGGCACCCATGTGGGAGGCCTGGCTCTGTTTTCTTCATGGCTTCAGCCTGCCCTAGCCCACGGTGTTACAGACGTCTGGGAAGTGAACCAGTGTCTGTGAGAACTTTCTCCCAGACTTGCAGGTAAAAGGAAAACACGTTGGTTTTTCTCCATGATAGAGTTCTGTAGGCATAAGGATTCCTCTCTTCTTATTTTCCCCTCCCACTATTTTCCACCATAGCATCAGGCTCTAGTCCTTCGGTAATAGAAGTTAACATTCTGATGCTTAAGTGTGTCGTGGTATTGTAGGTATAGGCAAAGGTAGAAAATCTGGTATCATACTGTCAAGATACATTTAAGTGTCTAGTGGGAGTCCTCCTTGTATTTGGAAGTAGAAATGTGTCCTGCAGTGTATCATCGCTTGGCAGTATGCTAGTCTCCATTCTACAACTCATCTATGAGAATTTATATATATTCACACAAACACACATACACACATATATAGTGTATATATACTTGCTTACATATATATGTAATTTGTTTTATATTTTGAATGAAGACCGTCTTGCCTCAGAGAACATATATTTGTCCTTTTTAAAATGTTTTTCTTGTCATTATTTTCCATTTTAGAATTTAGTAGGAATAGGAATTCTCCCCTTTCCTTCCCATCTCTTCTTCCCCATTTTTCCCCTCCCATATTATTATAATAATAAAGTCCTTCAGCTACAGTCACAAGTTCAACATTGAAGCGGATCATGGCATTGCAGGTATAGGCAATGGTAGAAAATCTAGTATGAAGCTGTCAGAGTATTTAACAGACTCCTTGTGACTTTCTCTTAGGAGTAGAGATGCATCCTACAACATATCCTCACTTCCTGGTATGTTAGTTTGCATTATACAGCTCATCTATGAGAAGATGCGTATGTGTTCGCCTACCTGTGATTCTATTTGTTCTAGGCTTCACGTGAAGGTCATCTTATATCAGAGAACAGAAGACATTTGTCCTTGGGGGACTTTCACTGAGCATAATGGTCTCTAGTTGGGACCATTTTGTTGCAAATGGTAGAATTTCATTCTTTTTAATGGCTAATTAGTATTCCATGGAGTAGATGTGCCATAATTTCTTTGCCTACCCCTCTTTCAATGAGAATCTGGGTTGTTTCCATGTCTTTGCTATTATAGATTGTGCTGCTATAAACTTAGGGTTGCAGGTCGCTTTCTCATTTCCTTTGGATATATTCCCAGGAGTGGGACAGCTGGGTCATATGGTAGTTCAGGTCTGAGCACTCTCCATGCTGACTCCCAGAGTGACTGCACTAGTGTCACGCCCACCAACGGTGGAGTAGGGTAACTTTTACTCCACACCCTCACCAGCAAAAACACAATAAGGTTTAAAAAATTTCCCCTATTGCTACTTTTCTCATGATTTTTTTATGTTGGAATTGTAAACTTCATGAAAAGCTATGCTAATACTATTTCATTTACTCCACATCACCCAGATTCCCCAGGGGTAACATCTCGTATAATCATAGTATTGCGATGAAAACTGTGAACTTCATACTGGCATGTTACTATGCAACTAGAGTATTTTCAGACTTCACTGCTGTTTCCACCAGTGTCCTTGTCTGCCCCTGCATCCAATGCAGGATCCCACACTGCCCCTGCTCACTGTGTCTGCTTTGGCTGTTCCTGTGAGGGCATCAGACCTCGCAGGGCTATGGACACCTAGATGTGTGTGTGTGTGTGTGTGTGTGTGTGTGTGTGTGTGTGTGTGTGTGTGTGTGTGTGTGTTTCTGTGTTGGTGATTTAGTAGGACACCTGTCCCCCGCCCCCCCAAACCCTGCCCAAGTCTGTGTATTTGGTGTTTCCTCACAGTTGGGAGGTATGAAGGGAGTGCCAGAGGGGCTGCACCCTCCTTGGTACACGGTGCCAACATGTTTTAGTACTGTAAAATGAGGGTAAAGTAGGTCATTTGGGCAAGAAAGCGTCTGCCAGGTTGATTGGCCATAAAGCTAGTTCTTGAAAGATACTTTTGAGAGGAAACAAACATGCTTTGTCTCTCCCCCTTATTCAGGAATCTCTTTGGTGGATGAGATCTGCAACAGTTGGTGCTCCCATTCCTTCCTGTACACCTTTCTTAGAGGTCACTGTGTTCCATGAATATTGAGCTCTGTCTGCCCTGCACTCCCAGCCCACACTTTTACTTGTTAAATGCAGACACTTTCTATTCTAGAAATAAGAAAAACATAACCAGGCTTTTTTGTTAGGTATATAATCATAATTGATAAATACAGATCATTTTCCATTGTTTCCACACTTCATACTGGCCATCCTCTTTGGTTACAGTTGTGGCCTACAGTGGCTTCTCGCTTTCCCCTTGATTTGTTTCTAACTGTCCCAGTGTTTTTTTTTTTTTTTAAGATTTATTTATTGGAAAGTCAGATATACAGAGAGGAGCAGAGACAGAGAGGAAGGTCTTCCATCCGATGATTCACTCCCCAAGTGAGCGCAACGGCTGATGCTATGCCGATCTGAAGCCAGGATCCAGGAACTTCTTCCAGGTCTCCCACACAGGTACACGGTTCCAAGGCTTTGGGCCATCCTCGACTGCTTTCCCAGGCCACAAGCAGGGAGCTGGGTGGGAAGTGGAGCTGCCGGGATTAGAACCGGCACCCATATGGGATCCTGGGCACGTTCAAGATGAGGACTTTAGCTGCTAGGCTACGCCACCGGGGCCCTAACTGTCCCAGTGTTAAACCATCCTTTCATTCTAGGGAAAAGCTCTGCTTCATTCTAATATATTCTTGTAAATATTAGAATTGATATGTTTCTTTTTAGAATGTGAATTTCTGTATTCAAAAAGGACAGTAATGTGTGGCTGGGTGAGGCAGAGTTAGGAGTGCCTCTCTGGTTTTTAAGTAAGTTATATGGATGGCATCAAAGAAATGCAGCGTTTTCATTTTTTCTGTCAACTTCAGTGAAACAAACACATTTGGACTCTCTGAATTCAAACAGAACTAAGTCTATAAAGCCAAGTCTGACACTGTTCAGTCTGATACGTGTTGTCATCCCTGTTTCTCACTGCTTCTCAATTCTAGCTCCATTGCATGCTTTAAAGGCAGTAACCCATTTGTGAAATATAGTTTCTGGGATTCCGTCTCCTTGACAACATCTACATTTCTATGGCTTTGCTCTTTTTCTTAATTGAACAGGAAAAGTGTTTAATTGGTCTAATAGGATTTTTAGTGAACTAGTGTTTTTTTGTTTTCCATTTCATTCTCTGATGCTATTTCCCATTAGCGTATGTTACTAGTGTTTTAATAATTAAGATAAACACTTGGATGAGTGTTGTTAGTCTTGGTCTGTATCTGGTATCTATACAGTTTTAGAGTACACATGGTCCTGTTTTAAATGTAATGGCATATGGGGCTGGATCCCACATGGATGCCACTTGGAGTCCTGGTGGCTCCACCTACGTACCTTAGAAAGCAGAACACGGACCAACAACTTGGGTCCTGCACCCACATGAACCAACAGATGCATGCTACCACCCCCCAACTCTGCCTTCCAAATAAATCTTTGAAAAAAAAAGCCATAAATGTTCTAATGCTTCCAAAGTGAGTGGGTTAGAGCATTGAATGCACCCTAAAAGGCCCATGTGTCAAAGGCTTGATCCCCAAGGGTGACACCCTTGGAAGGTGGGCACGGAGGGAGTCCTTTAGTCATAGGTTGCAGGAACTCAGTCTTCCTCCTTCTCTCTTTAGGCTGATCAAGATGTGACCACCCACACACCACATGCTCCTGCAAATGCCTCCCAGCAGCTCTGCCACAGACCACACCGACGGGACTGCATAACCTCGGCCATGAACCTCCTAAACTGTGAGTTAAACTTTTCTCTTCCTCTAGTTGCC